ACATGCATGTCTATAATCCGATACACCTATAGCCAGTAGTCTAGCCAATGGCCTATAGTCCGGCAAATTTTCAAGTCGATACACCAAGTGAGTGGTTCATATAGTAAAGTAACAGTTGTGCGGACGCTGCGTTCAATACGTTTTGGCAGCGCCCACCAGCGACCATCAGCGTTACGAGCGTCCAGGAGTATATGTGTAGTAGTACGGTGCGTTTGCACACGCCATTATTTTACGACGCCTAATCCAGGTGTCTCCTCCCTCCTACTTCCACATACTCTACCTGCAGTCGGCTACCCTTTTACTTCCCCATGCTTTCTACTCCTGGTCGCTGGCGGAAGCTAGTGGGGAAGTAGGAGGGAGGAGACGCTGTCTGACGCTGCCGCAAAGTATGAACGCAAGATTAGGTGGATTCAAAAGTTTCAAAACGGTCGGATGAATGGTGTCAGTCACCTACACTTTTATTCAATTTTTTTTCCTACTTGTTTCTCATCCTTCATGAAGATGCAGCATATTCGGTCAATGGCTATGTTCTAAAGAACAGAAAAGTCACATTTCTCCTATTCCAGAGGGGAGAGAGCTTAGTTGAGTGTGATCTCTGACGTTTTTGTGACGACAATCCGATAAACCTCTGAAGAGTGAATAAATAGATTCTAGCCGGCGCATGTTTTTGAAGCTATCAGTCTTTATGACGCTCAACTGTTTTCCATTTCATCTATCCTTTCCTGTTCTCTTTTTGGTGGTCCGACTCGGAAGGGGCATTTTGCACTTTCGTCAAACTGTAAATCTGTGCATTCTTGTGAAAAGCACAAGATCACGAGGATAGGCGAATTTTTCCGCACCACATGAGGTGCTCGACGAGGTAGAGAGAAAGCTGAAGTCATGGGACTAGTAGAATTGGGTATCTAGAGGAAGCTCTGCCACTTAGACTGCATGGTACAAAGTCCTCCTTGGTAGTTTATCTTCGATCGTGTGGAAGAAGTCTCGGAGACGAGCCCCAAACGTTGCGCACCAACACTCTTATTCTCGTGTCCAAGGGGTAAGTTTGACCCGAGGGCAAGTTTTCAGTGAGTTCGGTGTTTCAAGAAGATCGCAAGACCGAGGAATTTTACCTTACCTGTTTCTCCTATTCATCCTCTCCTACTGTGTGGTTTGTGACCAAAAAGAGGGAAGCTTTGGCGGGAGAATATTGAAGGTCAAGGTCAGGAGTCGTGTGGAGGAAGTTCATAGGGTTTTTTTTCTAACTGATTTCATATTCTGCATAGTTGTTCCTTGCAGTTGATAATGACAAGTATGGGAAGCTTATCGTGTGCGTGGGGATGGTAAAAATGATGACTCATTTCCGACTGTGCCCACATTCACCACAATTTAGCAGCAAGCTGGGTGACACATTCTTCAGATGTATTTATTGATAGTTCCACAAGTGAATCTTTGCATACGCTCTGCTTCATTGAACGTTCACCGTCATATTCTTCACCCACGTGAACCCCTTTTGAGACTATTCCCAGTCTATAAGCTTGTTGTTGGACGAAAGGACGTGTCGGGCGGAATGTGTTCGGCGCGTAGCCAATCCCGTTTTCCAGCAGTTGTTGAAGAGACTAAGCGACAGTTGCATCATATCGTTCTTACTAGTCGCTCTCTAAATTGTTCCAACATTTGGTGGAGAACGAATTTGGCGCCGCTCCAGACCCATCCTGCCTGACACGCCCCTCCATACGCAGCGAACAAGACTGTACACCGGGTTGCTTCAAGATATATGTTCGGTTACCTTAAATTTTTGTTGGATTTATAGTACTTACTCTTCCTGTTTATCACTCACTGAAATTGAACTTCATTCCTTAGTTTGGAGAAGTCGATATTTCTCCTATATTAAGTGTGTGGGGCACCTGATGGCCGTATTTGTTTGGAGGTGAGAAGTCTTGAGAATGTCATTTCAACAGGGTCAAATTTACTCTTCTCAGAGCATTACTTCTAAGAAACGCTTTTTGCTCCCATCGCATCCCATTATGGTCTTCTCATTAGAGCCTGGAGTTCACTCATTAGGGGCTACTGGTTGCTTGCATCCGGCTACTGGTTGGCTGCAGCCTTCAGTCAACACATTTTGCTATTTTTTACTGCGTACTATCTTAGGCATGAGAGTTGAATCACCTCTCACCATGTAAAGGCATAGCTTGTTGTTGGAGAAGCCTCAGTCACGACCTGCCATAGTCTCTGATGTTTTGGTCTTCGGCATTCCAATAAGTACCTTCTTCTGAATAAATACCTTCTTCTAAGAGGGTCGTAAACTAAAATCTGTCAGATTCTGTCATGCTCAGCTGTTTTCCATTTCATTTAGGCTTTCTGCTCAGTTTTTATGCGGTGTTCGGCTTGGGAGGGGCATTTTGTACTTTAGCAGTACCCCTTGGTAGTTCACGTTAAACAGTAGGTCTCGTTTCGGTGAATCCTGGAAACTCTTGTGAAGCTGTGAAATAGTGCAAGCGAGCCACTTTAGTTACAGGTATTCACAAAGTAGTCTTTACGGCCTTCGCTGATAGCAGTCGGTGCCCCACCAAGCCAAACTGCGCATATTTCTGATTAATGAGTCTTGTCGATAATCTCTGCTTAATCTTCTTGCTACTTCAAAGTTTTATGAGCATCTATAAACTTCGATGTACTGCCTTCATCTGAAAGTTATAAATAGTATGGTTTCAGATCTGGATTCATTGGGACCGACATCAGAAGCGGCTGTAGCAGCGGCTGGAAGCAAAGGCAGTTGGCCATCGGTGTCGCTTCGCCATTTTATGACGTCATCGGATGATGTGAACGTGTCGTGGGGTGCGTGGTCTGTGGCGACGTTGTTCCCGTTCCGACTATGGCCACTACTTCCACCTTGGTGGACGTTATTGGCCACTGTGGGCATGGTTTTCGTCATTTGCCTCTACTTGTTACATATCATTGGATATTGTTATAGGTTAGTTCATTTTCTATGTATTATTCTGTAAATTTTGATTTTTTTATTTCGTTTTCTTATTCCCTTGAATACACTGTACACGCAATTCCAAGGACGGTCTTTTCTACAAAGTCCGCATCTGCGGAAACTTACCACTTTCTCCGGGGTCTGGAAGGTAGCGATACCGGGGCACCGTATCCTGACTTCGTCCTCATTCTCCTCAAAGTGCACCACTTGCGTCGACCCTGAAATCCTGCACCGAACACGCAGTCTCTGCAGTACAGAACAACTAGAAGTGAGGCGCGTTCAGACTTCGCGATCGTGCGATTAGATCGCGCGATCGGATCGCTCGACTAGGACGCGGGATCGATCGACTAGGATGCGCGATTGCTGAATCTGAACGCGCTCTTGAGAGGTGCGGAGACCGTGGTGTGTATTGTCAATGATTAGGCATGTGGCTGGAGTGTGGCATTTTGTGGGCGGTTGGGGGATGCTCCTCAACGCAATATCCGTTACCTTTTAGCTAGACACCATCATTCACGCCGTGTTTAAAAGCGCCTTGTCGCAGTACTGAAGAAGACCTATCTGGACCTTCTTCATAGCATGAATAGATGGCTTTTTTTTTGCTAGTGGATACAATAATTTGCTGAAGACTAAGGCGAATATTGGTACGCTGAGCTTTCTTGGGGCTGCCCTATATCCTTTAGCTCTTTTAATTACTAGTAGGAACTAATCCTATAAGCGCCTTTTTATGGCTTCAGCTCTACAATTCGATTTCAGCAAATATCGACTGCATCGAATTGTCGACTTTGATCCAAATGCCCCTGGAGTATCAATTCTAAAACCGTTGTTAGGAGTGGACAAACACTTGAAAGCTAACTTACAGTCGTTTTTTACAATGAAATTCCCTAAGGTATGTTACCATTAAAATTGTTCTGTTCATAAACTAAGGTGCTGGTGGAATTGAAAAGGTGCTTGTAAGCTCATAAACTTTGTTCTTGATCCCCAGTATTTTTTTGAAAAGACAACAGTTTTAGTTCGAATTGTTGTTTTGTGTAAAAGAGAGACATGATCCAGCTGTGGGTATTGTCAAGCAGCTTATGGACAGATATCCTGCTGTCGAAGCGAGGATATTCTATGGTTGGTACATCGAGCATGCTCTCCTTCTTTTCTTTTCTTCTGAAGCCACTTCCTTTTGGAGCGACTTTGCACCTATGAAATCATCGTGTACGTTTTCAGGAGGTGAGGATGTTGGATTGAATCCAAAAATCAGCAATATGATGCCGGCTTACCGTAATGCGAAGTACCCGATGGTGATGATCAGCGATGCAGGTGAGCCGTTTTTAGTGGTTCGCGTATTATTGACTTTTTTAGCGTTTTACGATGAATTCTAAATTTTTCCGTTTTGAATGCCTAAAGGAATTTTTGTTTTGTCTCGCTTTTGAATAACAAATCACATGCCAAATTGAGCCCATTCTAGAGGAAACATGGTGGCGAAACTTTTGCCTTGTGCGTTATTGTCAAGGCCCGTCGTACTTTGGGAATGCCCAGCGAGAGAAGGAGGGGTCTATTTGATCTCTGGGAAGGGGGATGGTCGTAATTTCTTCTGAGATGAGTCTTTTGAGTGATTTCGGCTGTTTACCAGTTTCACCTGTTTCATGTGGCCTGCCACCCCCTTACTCGACCAACAGTTTTCTCGGTTGGAGGAAAAGTGGGAAGTTTCGGTGAATTCGGAACAAAGAAACTCTGGAAAATCGTTAGGGAGTCGAGAAAATCCCAAGAACATTGTAATTGGGTTTTGTGGGGTCATACTAGAGGCGGGAACTTTAAGGGGAGAGATAGTGGATCGCAAAAATTGCCCAACGGTAGGACATGCCGTGATTACTGTAGCTGTTATCAGTTTTCCTTTTCTGAGCACTTCCATTCTGGGAACACCTCAAAAATACGTGAGGACAGCGTAGCCCGCTTGCGACGGAATCACCGCCCCGCCCACTGGTCACCGCGACGCCCAACTTTCATTTTTAACTGATTGTACGGTCGTTCCGCTACTAACTTCCTTCATTTCGAATGGTGAGAATGAAGTGATAAAGAGAAAGAGCTGGCACCAACAAATGAGAGTTCGTGCAACCATGCCCTTTCTTCGCCTTACACAAGTACAAGCACAGTTCAGCATAGGGTTCCACCCATGGCAATTCCGGCGGTTTTTTTTCTGCTTTTTTTCCTTAATTCTGCGTTATTGTGTTATTCGCCAAATTACGTTAGTATTTGAGCCGCAAACTGACCATTTCCGAACGCGGAGCGTGCCGTCACTTTAAGTCACCCTGCTGTTTTAGTTTGAACTATTTGGGTTTGATAGACAGAGGGGGGAGTGGTAGCGTTTAAGAACTGAGTACTTTATAATGAGCATTTCCAGCAATTATGATGCGATCGGACGCGTTGATGGATATGGTAAATGCAATGGAAGACGATGTGGCTTTGGTCACCCAGATGCCATATTGCAAAGATCGAGAAGGATTCGCAGGCGCATTAGAGCAGGTACAGTATTTCCACAAGGTTCGACTTATGAGTTAGAAGATGATGCTGTAGCAAAATGTACAACAATTCAAGCCCTTGAATCACCAGTTTCTATAGTTTTTGGTTAATCCCTCAGTAGCTGAGGTTTTCATCCCATGAGTTGTGGATGCATGTGAACCTTTTCTGTTAAGGTTGTCCGGAAAGTTCTCAGCGTTTTGTTACTATTTTTTGTACATTCATTGCTGATTAAAAACTCATTCTCCCTTGCGTCTCAGTAGTACATCCTGAAGAGAATTCTTTGCGCTATCTGATGGTATAATTGCCGTTTCACCATTGCTTGATGAACCCCCTTTTCCCAAGACTTTTGAAGCATGTCAAAAGAGCAACTTCGGACGATATTTTTCTTCAACTACAAATTAGAATCAATCCGCAGTCGAGACAGCTCGACAAAGTTAACCAGGTGTGGGGCCCAGTAGTGTTCGAGAAAGCACCGTGCGACAATGATTCGGCAAATTTCGTTCTGGAGATTTCAGCCTTGGAAGAATGCAACCTCGTTAAGTGCGACTAAAGCAATACCCCCGCCCACCACCGCCATGACGCAGGATTTGCAAGGTCATTGGAGGAGCGACTGGACCCATCCCAAACAATTCGAGAGATTGCAGAAAAGCTAGGCGTTGGCAATCACTGTTGCGGATGGTCTGAAACGCATTGGGAAGGTGAAAAAACTCGACAAGTGGGTGCCCCACAATGTTGAGGGGATGGCAGTCAGATAACAAGCGCCAAAACCCCCTGATAATCAGAAGCAGTTACGACCCCCTCTTTTCAGCAACTAAATACGACCCTGATGGGGATCCCAACGTACATGCCCTGAATAGTACAAGATTAGCCTTGCAGTATCAACCGGTAATTAGACCTAACTTTCTGAACATACCGCAGTAAGTTGCAAAACAATGAATAGACTTCCTATAGCACCAGTCGGATCGCCCGGCTGACGCCGAGCTCTCCTCCTTCTTTTCAGCTCGGCTTCGCCGAGCTGGCCTGACTTCGCCAGGCGCCAGGCGCATGGAATGGAATTTGTTAATTGCCTGAGCTGCTCATATTGCGCGCTAGTGGTCGAATCATAATAGACAGAGTAACCTAGCGAAATCTGTACCCCTCATATTTGCAGAAGGCCTGTCGTGCTGGTTTCGGCCCATAACGCCCATTCTATACGTAGATCTTAGAAATATATAGGAAGTACAGAATATCAATATGTGTTGCACAGTAGACGAACAAATCCCGTTTTTATTACCTGCATCACAACACCAACGGTGGGCGATTAACTTGTCATTAACATGCAATCCACCTGCTAAGGTTGCATGAATGGCTGCAGAAGACAATATTTAGGCTGCGTTCGTGAATATCTCACAAACTACTTCGTTATTCGTTCTCATCAGTGATTAAAAGTTGAAAAGCAAAAAAAAAAATTATTTAAATACTCACTGAACGCATAAAGTGTGTTCCAATATTGGAGTTTTTGATCTTCAAATCTCCTTGTCAGCGAGTAATTATACCCCCCTAGTGGATGAGTACATTTTTGGTGCTATCAAAGGAGTGATGGCTGTGGGAAAATTTTGCTGACTGAGAGGTTTTTTTGGCAGTATAGTGGTCAGAGATGTCGTGAGAATGTCCCCTTATCTTTACTTATCAACTGATATTGCTTGTCACCCGTCATCAATGTCGCTATCACTAAAACTCCATAATTTCGTGGTGTAGAGGCTTCAGCATTTGACTGAGCAACAACTGCATCGTTTTCTATCAGACCCTATCAGTTATCATTTCCTGTCACCCGCCGCCTTCTCCACCTTCCCTTGATACCATTTGCTGAAATCAACGCCTAACTGATGCTATGTCCCGCGTTATGAGTATGTTGTCCTTTCCACTCTAACTCCCCTTATCAGCAGCTAGCAGTTCTTGTCACCCACATATCCCTGTGCCGTAACCTATACGATACCTTGAAAAAACGCCCCAGTGTTCCAGTGGGACTCCCCTCTGCTTCCTTCCCTTGCGCATGCTCAGATCGGGCTGAGCACGCGCAGGGGAAGGAAGCAGAGGGGGGGGGGTGGCACTGGGCGTCCCCCCTCGGCTCCACCCCACCCTGCCCCCGCACGAGCACACGTCCAGCTGCCACGCCAGCAGCTCGTGCAATGGCTCGGAGCTTACCGAATGGTTGTCTTATATAGCGGAGGCCGATATCACGATCAAAACATTGGATTGATACTTCCGCACCGATTTGCCCGTTTGCCAGCGGTCGTTTTCGCCTCCAGCGAACTCGAACCCGTGAAGTATTGTGCGGACGGACAGACAAACATACATACATACATACAAACATACAAACCGACACACAAATTACTGCTTATAGAATATAGTAACTTTCTTTGAAATGCCTAACCTCCCTCATAAGGGTGAGAAAACTCACTCAAGTAGCACGTTTGTTTTCAGATCTACTTCGGCACTAGTCATGGACGCATTTACTTGGCTGGAAACTGTATGCAGTTTGTGTGTTCTACCGGAATGTCATCACTGATGAGGAAGTTTGTTCTGGATGAGTGTGGAGGATTATCTGTGAGTTTATTTCCTGCAGAAACCCTTTTAGGGCACATTTTCCTCGTATTTTGATGAGTAAGCTTTCAAAAACTTTAAAATTATGTTAGGATTACTAAACCCAAAAATATGTGAGCACCCATTAGTTCCTCCTTAAACCATTTCGGATAGCTTTACATTCAGGCTTTCGGTGATGTTTTGGCGGAGGATTACTTCATTGGGCTGGAGTTTAGCCGTCGGTTAGTTTTTTAGCTCGTGCTAGTGATCAGACCATCTGAGTGATAAGATGCTTATCCATCTAACTATTTATTTCTCAGATTTCCATTGCCTCAGCTGTTATTTTACGTCACTTGCTTTAACTTTTTTTATTAGTTCAAAGTTCAGTCTTTGTTATATTTGAATATGTTCTTTTCAGTGGTTGGCGATCAGCAATTTCTACTCATCCAGCCCTTCAAAACGGCGCTGAACCAACGGTGGCGAAGTTCCATGCAAGAATTAGACGATGGATGCAGCTACGGAATAGCTATGTTACCTCACATGATGTTTGTAGAACCTTTACAGGTTAGTGAATTGTTATTGTCTAAGTCATTTTAAGACACATGGTACGATCACACATAGTTTGGGTGTGTGTGACTATCAGCCCCCAGCTGTCGAAGCGTAGCGGTTTCCCCGTCCTAACATGCGCAGGAATGGAGATACAGGACCGTGAAACACGCTAATTCCTCCATGCTCCGCCCAATCCTTTTGCGGCGCAGACTCCCGTTCATGCTAACATCCGTCGTGTGCGCGCGTGTCGCGTGCGGCTCTCTTGGCACTTTGCCAAGTCCTGTAATTGCGCTTTGGAATACAAGTAAAACGCAATTTCCTGATGCGGATAACATTTGAGGTGTTGCTCATGCTGCAAAGTCCGAATAGAAGGTGATGAAGATGACAAAGGCTAGAAATGAAGAACAACGAATGTAGATGTAAATAAAACAAAGAAAAAAATTAAGGAAACGCAAATTAATTAAAATCGCGTGTAAATTCGCGATCCGGCGCGAATTCCGGCCGCCAAAGCATAGAAATACTTTAAACTAACGAGTGGGACGCTTAGGCCGTTTTTATTTTCATGTTTCGTGGAAATGCGCGGCCTCCGAGGGATATTGCAGAAGCAGCACAGTTGCTCTTGAGTTCTGGCCCTCGTCATCATCTTCGGTTCTTATTTTGCAGCACCTCAAATGTTATCCGCATCAGGAAATTGCGTTTTACTTGTATTCCAAAGCGCAATTACAGGACTTGGCAAAAAGCCAAGAGAGCTGCGCGCGACACGCGCGCACACGACGGCTGTTAGCATGAACGGGAGTCTGCGCCGCAAAGGGTATAGGGTGGATGGGAGCAGTCTGTAGCGCGTTTCATGGTCTGTATCCCATTCGTGCGCATCTTAGGACGGGGAAGCTACGCTTCGGACAGCTGGGGGAAAGGGGGGGGGGTGCTGGTAGTAACACACACCCAAACTATTTGTGATCGTACCATGTGTCTTTAAATGCTTCCCAATCATCCACTTGACTTCTTGTTTCGTTTCGAAGTGGTATGTAGCAAAATCCTCGAAGCATAATTTTTGATTACAAGAACCGAACTTGTGGGCGCAGTTCGGCTGGGCAGGGGACCGGATGATACTCAGCCTAAGTTTATACAGAGCACCTTGTGAGGACCTGTAAACACTTGGGAGTAGTGGTACAACTTTGCTTGTCTACAGTTGTTTACAGGTCTGACCAAATGAGGGGCTGTTAAGTTGGAAGTTAACAAAAGGAAATAGTGGGAGTGCAAAAAGTCTCCTCCAAGCCGGGCAGGCGCCCTTCCTGCGCAGTTCTACAGCGATTTGGTTCCGAGTTTTAGAGGTTTGCAAAGGTGAATATGACTACTTCAGGATTGCTTTATGGCCGGTTTTATTGGCTGTATGTGCGCTAACCACCTATTCGGTCTAAATCCTATAGCTTACTACATAGTGCACTGTTTCTTCTGGATTTCATGTGATTACGCTCTGAATCGATCAATACAGGTGAGCCTCTTGTGTTCGTCACCCTCCTTAGAGCGCGTTCAGACTTCGCGATCGCGCGATCGAATCGCTCGACTGGGTCGGGCAATCCAGTCAAGCGATCGCGACAAGAGTCTCCATCACCAATCGGTTTATATGCTTCCCCCCCCCCCGCTCGGCTCGATTCGATGAGGAGGGAGAGGAGGGACAGAGGGCCGGAGGGGTGGGGTAGTACTAACCCCCACCCCAAAAAAAGAGGGTCGTACGAACTCGACCAAAATCCCCAACCAGTGATATGCCCTGCTGGGCGCGCGATCCAGTCCGCAACTGCGAAGAATGAGCGATTTTACTTTTTGCCTTGTTGTTAGACTTTTACGTAGTCGCACGAATAGAAGTTTCTTTTTGAAGAGTTTTTTGGAGTGCCGCAGTCTGGTTGAAATTTAGAAAGGAATTTCTGTTTTATCATAGTTTTTTTGTTCAATGCCAGCTTCAACAAATTTGATTTTTTTACAGAATGGCCCTCTGCCATACGGCTTACCGGCTTTCGCATTGGCGTGGGCGGTCCGTGAAGGATTGGCGCCGTTCATCTACATTCGCGCAATACTAACACCGAACATCAACTGGAGAAATGGCCGGTTTCGATTACATTGGGGCGGCAAGATCAAGTCCTCGTGATAGCTATGCATCACATTTCTGAACAAATAGGTGAAGCACGGAGAACAGCCGAAGAAATTCTTAACCTCCTGTCATCTCTTTTTTTACATTGGAAAGCTGTGATCTGAAGCCTGTAGATTTTATACCAATTGAATGCCTGCCATTGTTAGGAATTTAGTCATGTTTCGTACCTTTGCTGTGATGACGACCTGCTGAAAAATACAAGGTATTGACGGCGGCCGGTCAGGGATGATTTAATTGAGCGTGAGGCTTTTCACTGATTTCTCGTTTTCGCTCACTGAATGGGGCGCTGCTGCGTTTCCATACAGAGTTGCAGGGAAAGGGTCTCACTTACAAGGGTATGCCTTGTTGTTTCTTCTAGGATTTTCCAGGTTGGGAAGTGGTGGTGCCAAATGTACCGTTCAGAGTTAAAAGCAGGGCAAGTGTGTCGCAGAATCTGTGATACCGGGTAGGGTTACACTTTACTTTCTGAGTAGGGTTGGACATCGATATTAATCAAAGCCTTCGAAACAGTTCTTTCCAGTCTAGGTGATTGGTGGAAAGAGCTGGGATAAAGGGCTGAGTTTGAAGGATCTTGTAAAGGGCATGGGGTAGAGTAGCCTTAGATAGGTTTCTTGTGATCGAGTG